AGATTCCCTATTTAATAGATGCTATTGGGAAAAATTGTTAGTCATAGGCAGAAAACTGAAACTGGACCCCTTCCTTATACCTTATAAAAATATTGAATCAAGACGGAGTAAAGACTTAAACATAAGACCTAAAACCACAAAAACCTTAAAAGAAAACCTAGGCAATACCATTCAGGACGTAAGCATAGGTAAAGACTTAATGACTAAAACTTCAAAAGCAATTGCAACGAAAACCAAACTAAAGAGCTTCTGCACAGCAAAAGAAACTATCATCAGAATGAACAGACAACCTACAGAATGGGAGAAAATTTTTGCAATCTATCCATCTGACAGAGGACTAACATTCAAATCTACAAAGAACTTACACAAATTTACAAGTAAAAAGCAAACAACTCCATCAAAAAGTGGGTGAAGCATGTGAACAGACATGTCTCAAAAGAAGACATTTATGCAACCAACAAACATGAAAAAAAGCTCATCATCACTGGTCATTAGAGAAATGCAAATCAAAACCACACTGATATACCATCTTATACCAGTTAGAATAGCGATCATTAAAAAGTCAGAAACCAACAGATGCTGGAGAGGATGTGGAGAAATAGGAATGCTTTTACACTGTTGGTGAAAGTGTAAATTAGTTCAGCCATTGTGGAAGATAGTGTGGCAATTCCTCAAGGATCTAGAACCAGAAACAGCATTTGACACAGCAGTATTATTACTGGGTATATACCCAAAGAATATAAATCATTCTACTATAAAGACACATGCACACTCTAAAAACACATGCACACATATGTTTATTGCAGCACTATTCACAATAGCAAAGACTTGGAACCAACCCAAATGGTCCATCAATGATAGACTGGATAAAGAAAACGTGGCACGTAAACACCATGGAATACTGTCCAGCCATAGAAAAGGATGAGTTTAGTCCTTTGCAGAGACATGGATGAAACTGGAAACCGTCATTCTCAGCAAACTGACACAGGAACAGAAAACCAAGCACTGCATGTTCTCACACATAAGTGCGAATTGAACAATGAGAACACATGTACACAGGGAGGAGAACATCACACACTGGGGCCTGTCATGCAGTGGGGGACTACAGGGAGGATAGCATTAGGAGAAATACCTAATGTATTTCTGCACCATGATGGTGCAGCAAACCACCATGGCACGCGTATACCTATGTAACAAACCTGCATGTTCCCGGAACTTAAACTATAGTAATAATAAGAAAGAACAAGTAGGTGTTAACACAAGGTCAAATAAAAAGGAGGAGTAGGTGTTAACACAAGGTCAAATAAAGACAAGGCCTGTAAATTTCCCATTGTGCAAGGCAATTAGGAGGTCAGGCACTCAGCATAAGCTGTTTTCTCAGTGGTAGAGACACAAACCAAATTAAAACAGGTTGAGTAGTGAATGAAAAGGGACATGGATGAACCTGGAAACCATCATTCTCAGCAAACTGACACAAGAGCAGAAAATCAAACACCGTATATTCTCGCTCATAGGCGGGTGTTGAACAATGAGAACACATGGACACAGGGAGGGGAGCACTACACACTGGGGTCTGTTGGGGGGAAATGGGGGAGGGGCGGGGGGTGGGGAGGTGGGAAGAGATAGCATGGGGAGAAATGACAGATACAGGTGAGGGGACGGAAGGCAGCAAAGCACACTGCCATGTGTGTACCTATGCAACAATCTTGCATGTTCATCACATGTACCCCAAAACCTAAAATGCAATTAAAAAAATAAATAAATAAATAAATAAATAAATAAATAAATAAAAGAAAACTGTGGATGTAAAGGCAATGAATGAAGAATATGGGAGTTTGGCTCAAAGAAGACTCAGCATGAAAAGGAAACAGCTAGGTATTTTATGTAATTAGGGGAGATATTTTATTTTTGTGGGGTTATTTGAAAGAGAAGTGAGCTTATTCATATGCTGTGGGAAATGATAGTGGAAAAGAACAGAATAAATACTGGTGATGGGGTTATAGTCGATGAAATAGACTGACGAAACATTGAGATCCAAATCTCCAGCATAATGGAAAGTCTAACCCCTACACAGGAGACAGGGCCTCTTGCACTCTGTGCATTGGAAAGGTGGTGAATACAGATCAAGGTGAAGATAATTCTGGAGGTGATGTGTGAGGGAAAGTTGAGGTCTTTACTCCTGATTACATATTTTTTCTGGGTGACACATAAGAAAGCTGATGATGAAGTTTTTGAAAAGACTTTGAAAGGAATGAAAAAAAGAAAGATAACCAAGAAGTGTAAGTTTAAAGTTAGGGGCCACTGCTACCAGTGTAGCTACCAGTCCTAGAATGATGATTTTCTCTAGTGTCGTTCAGTGGCACATGTGCAGGAAAATGGTAGGTTAATATAGGCTTGGAATCTGCCTTTGGAGGAGCGACAGAAGACAGGGGTGCAGGGGAGCTGAGACAATGAGTCCCAGCTGAGCAGAGAAGGCAAAATAGCAAATGGGGACACTCCCTGACACCCAGGAGAAAAGAGGGAAATGGAAGTTTGTGAATATTTGGTTGGATAGAAAGTGTTAAGGAGAGTCACACTGTGAGAGAGCCTGAAGAAGGTGAGTTTGTTTTCAGAGAACAGAACACAGGACTCACAGATTTCTGCCATCAAGTAATTCCAAGTTGTCTGTGCTTGGGTTAAGGAAGGTGAGGTGGAAGGGAAGATCTCCAAATCTGAGGAGGTCAAGGGACTTTAAGATGAGCAGGTAGGTAGACATGAATACCAAAATCGCTCGGAATAATAATAATGCTTGAGTTGAAAAAAATTCTAAGCCTGAGCCAAGTTGTTGCCGGCAGAGAGAAGGAAGTTATATATAATCCTGTGCTCTCTCAGGTTGACGGGTCAGGCAGCCTCCCTGGGAGAGCAGGTAGTGGAAGAGTCTTAGAGAAAAGGGATGTGATATTCTTAGGGGATACTTTCCAATATGAAAAAGAGAAGCAGCCAACATGCTACTTAGGGGCTGAAAATATAGGGACTTTGTTTAATATGGAGGAGTTTTGGAAAGTAAAGCAAAAAGCTTTGGGAGTATGAGTAAAACTCTTATGGTAAAAAAACAAAAAACAATTTAACTTTTATTTAGACTGTATTTCCCGGACTTGCCCACACACCCCTTGTTTGCACAGCGCCCATTAACCTCTTACAAAAGTGGTGCTGTGTGGATTACAGCTTGGGAAACATTGGCAAAGCTCTCGAGGATGGCAGGGCTGTGAAGCATTCCACAATGGAATTGGTGCCAAGTCACGGGAAACTCAGCTCTTAAGGTATCTGGAAGGCACTGTGTGGACAAAGACGAGTCAGCTTCAAGGCCACCCAATTTGTTGAGTTTTTAAGTTTCTATCCATAGCCATTTGTCTCTTCAACTCAGCTACATTAAAGCCTGTGAAATCAGGGACAGTTATAATTTCTTTGCATCTCTATGATATTCGGCTTATGCTGGAGCATATTAATAAGTGCTAAATAAACATTTTGTTTTATTGATTTATACAATGAGGAAACAAAAATTACAGCACCATTTTTAGATCTTGCTTCTGTCTCTGTTGGAGGTTTATTTTCTTTTTAGCATTAAAAAAATTATTTTTTTTTTTAGAGGCAGGGGCTCACTCTGTTACCCTGGTTGGAGTGCAGCAGCATGTCATGGTTCACAGCAGACTTGAATTCCTGGCCTCAAATGGTCCTCCTGCCTCAGCCTCCCAAAGTGCTCAGATTATAGGAGTGAGCCACCACACCTGGCCTAGGGTTTTAACTTAATGTTAAACATCCCAATGTGTTGGAGCTCATTGTGAATTTTCAATAATTTTTACTTACAGCTTTTAATATTTAATGCACCTCTGTACCTTCTCTCTTTGATATGATATTGATAGAATGGTCTTGGACAAAGAGAGCTCAAAACAGAATATTTGATATTGCTGAATATTAAAATTAATTATGCAAGGTAAATACAATTAAGAAGAAATAGTAGGGAATATTTGAAAAATATATACCTGAGTTATTTATTTTAAAGTGGCCTTTTTCCAAAGGAAAAATTAAAAAAATTAAAAGTACAAAATCATACAAAGCTTAAACAAAAAATGTTACAACTATCAGAGAATTCCCCTTGAGAATTCTTTAATTTTCTTACATAATACAGTAAATGTGATTTTATATACAGAAGGTAGTAAGTAAATATAAATGTATAATAGATACAGGGATGTGCAGAATTTAATATTATAAAAATTATGGTGTATATATAATTTACATTGTTTATAATTATACAAAAGATAGAGAGATATGTATATATGCTTGAATTGTAAAGTCAAAAAGCAGATTATATGAGATTCTGCTGCGGTATTTAAAAGCAAAGATATAAAATGGCTGAGAATTATAACATTTACAAAAATTACAACTTACATAACATTTGAACTCAGTATACTTATAAATTGTGCTTGCATTTATTGTCCTCTCCTGAGGAAGGCTCAGTGTCTATGAGAAGCCTGGGCAATCACACATTAGAAGTCTTTACCTCCACCACTGAGACATACCTTGACCCACAGACCTTGAAGCTTAGGTTGGTTGATTCGGAAAACTGTGTTTGATAAACCTCTGTGGAACTGGGAAAACCCTTATATGACTCCCAGACCCTGCTGTGTTGGTCTCTTGTTTTCCTTCCACTCAATTCCCCTTTGAGGTTTTAGTGAAAATATGTGCTTCTAAACCTTTCTACAGTCAGGCTAAGAGGAAGAGTAGATTCTACCTAGACCAATCCTGGCATGTATGTAAGAGGAAATACAGAAGGCTTTTTCTTAAAGGTTAGAAAAGCAAAAATCCTATATTAAAATGGCTTTCGTGAACTTGTATTTCTACTTTGAACAAGTGTATCTGAGTTTAGAGTCTAGAAGCTCACGGCCATGTCCCCCGTGATGCGTAGTTGACATTTCACAATTTAACATTATGAGACGTTTCAATGACTATTTTTAATTATTTAGGCTTCAAGGAGACAACCTGGCAGAAAGGACAGAAGAGACACTACCTGTACTCCATTCTCCAGATGAAAAAGTCCCAGATTCCTTCGGTAAGTTTTAAATCCAACAGTATTTATTGCAGTTCTAGTGGCACTTAAAGATTAATGAAATAAAGAAAAAAACTAAACCAAACATCATCCCTTGCATGAATTCTCTGTAGCTGCAGGTCACATATCTTCTGCTGGCATACTCCTTGGGGCTGTTTGTGTCAGGATAAGAGCAAAGGAGAGCAGGAATTGAGAAGTGTGAATTCTAAGGAGTAATTCTTTATACCTGTTCTGTTTAAGGTCCAAACAGATCAACTCTATGTTGGCTACTCCTTAAATTATGTCAATAATTCAAAATTGTCTTTATAAATCCACATTGTCAGCTGGATCTCTAGAAAATGGAACTATCTCTCTGCCCCTTGTCTGTCACTTGCTGTAACTGCTGCACCCATTCTTACATCGTTGATCCAGTCATTTTTCTTGGGCAGAAATGTCAATATCATACTTGACAATATGTATTCCCTCTCTCCCAGCCCTGTGTTACATTAGTCTCCAGCTATGTCAATGCCACTTCAGAATTTTTTCTTCTGAGTCAACCTCCTTTTTATTTGCCCTGTTACTTCCTGTCTATGAGTTTTTCCTTTCTTCAAGTGTAACTGCCTTTTTTTGCACTCTTTGCACTATCTCACCCTTCTTTGGTTTATTATTTTTCTGAAAATAAAACTGCTTATTCCATTTCCATTTTCTATAGTGCAAAATGGAGATTCCTTAACTTAGCAAGCAAACTTAATATCAGAGCAATTAAAAATGATTTTTGTATATGTAAATAAGTACAGGTAATGCAACTCCAGTGCTATCTAAGGTATATCACGTCTTCATCAGTGTCCTTCTATAATGCTGATGCATTATATTAATTATATATATACACATATTATGCATCCTGCTGATGCATTATAGCAGGACACAGTCCATACATCCAACCTGGATGGTTAGAAGATAAAGTATAGGAAAGTGTTTTTGTTATACCTGGATTGCGAAGAACATCTTCAATAAGACAAAGACATCTCCAGCCATGAAAGAAATCATTGAAACACTGAACTCTTGAAAATTAAAAACTCCTGTTTGTCAAAAGAAGCCCACAGAACCTCGGGATTAAGATGGTGGATAGGAGGCAGGACTAATTTGCAGCTCCCACTCCGACAGACAGAGCAGCACGTGGAGATTTATATCATGAACTTTTGCTCCAAGAAGTACTGCAGAAACATGTCAGGAAAGCTGAGAGAATCACAGACACTGTGAAGGAACTGGATCACCACTGCAGGCTCCCTGAGATGCAAAAACCTATGAGATTGCTTTCTAAATGAGGAGACTCATGGTCTGGGGCAAGTTCTCAGACCTGGTCCCTTGCTGCCTGGAAATAAACTCAGTGCTTTTTGTGGGGGCACAGTGTATGTGAGACCAGCCTTTAGGGCTATGGGCTGCCATGGAGCTGGGTGAGGCCTGTGGTAGCCAGCTTTCCCCCACTTCCTTGGTGACCTGTATGAGTCAACAGAGACACCCATAATCCCCCTGGAAATATAACTCCACGGGACTGGGAACCACACTCCCATCCCCTACAATAGAAACAACAATCCCCACACAAAAAGAGGCTGAGCTCAGACACACCTATCCCTGCTCCCATCTGGTGGTCTTTGTTTACCTGCTGTGGTAGCCAAAGACAAAGGGCATAATTTCATGGGAGCTCTATGGCCTTCCCTACCACCTGAGAAACATGAATATTTAACCAGATGTTCTCAGGGCAAGTTTGCATCCTCCTCATAGGGTTGATGCTTTTTTTTTTTTTTTTTTTTTTTTTTTTTTTTGAGACAGAGTCTTACTCTGCCACAAGACGCCAGGCTGGAGTACAGTGGCACAATCTTGGCTCACTGCAATCTCCACCCCCTGGGTTCAAGCAATTCTCCTGCCTCAGCCTCTTGAGTAGCTGGGACTACAGGCATGTACCACCATGCCCAGCTAATTTTTGTATTTTTTAGTAGAGACGGGGTTTTACCATGTTGGTCAGGATGGTCTCAATCTCTTGACCTTGTGGTCCACCTACCTCGGCCTCCCAAAATTTGATGCACTCTTGAAAGCATCATCTTTTGGCTGGAGGCCAACCAACACAAAACTAGCACACTAAACAAAAACATAACCAAAGTCCCTCACAGAGTCCACTTCACTCCCTTGCTACCTCTTCCAGATCAGGTGCTGGTATCCACAGCTGCAAGACCTGAAGAGTGATCACATCACAGGACTCTTTGCAGACACTCCCCAGTACCGGCCCAGAGCCTGGTAACTCCATTGGAAAGCTAGACCCAGAAGAACAAAAACAATCTCTACAGTTCAGCTCTCAGGAAGCCCCATTCCTAGGTAAGCGGGGAGAACACATCAAAGGATCACACTAAGGGACAAAAAAATCTGAACGGCAGTTCTTGAATCCTACATTTTCCTTCCAACATAGTCTGCACAAATTAGAAGGAACCAGAAAAACAATTCTGGTAATATGATAAAAATAAAATACTACCATCATTCTTTACAGAACTAGAAAAGAAAATTCTAAATTCATATGGAACTGAAACAGCCTGCATATCCAAAGCTATCCTAGGCAAAAAGCATAAATCTGGAGGCATCACATTGCCTGACTTCAAACTAAACTATAAGGCCATAGTCACCAGAACAGCATGGTACCATTATAAAAATAAACACATATAGAATAGAGAACCCAGAAATAAACCCAGATACTTACAGCCAACTGATCTTCAGCAAAGCAAACAAAAACATAAAGGGGGGAAGGGACAAGAATGGATTTGGTGAAGAAAGAACACTATTCAGTAAATGGTGCTGGGATAATTGAAAAGCCACATGTAGAAGAATTAAACTGGATCCTTATCTCTCACCTTATACAAAAATCAACTCAAAATAGATCAAGAACTTAAATCTAAGACCTGAAACCATAAAAGTTTTACAAGATAACATCAGAAAAACCCTTCAGATATTGGCTTAGGTCAAGATTTCATGACCAAGAACCCAAAAGCAAGTGCAACAAAAATAAAAAGATAAATAGATAGGATTTAATTGAACTAAAAACCTCCTGCACAGCCAAAGAAATAATCAGCAGAATAAGCAGAAAACCCACGGAGTGGGAGAAAAATCTTCATAATCTGTGTTTCTGACAAAGGACTCATATTCAGAATCTATAATACAAAGAACTCAACAAATCAGCAAGAAAAAAGAAAATAATCCGGTGAAAAGGCGAGCTAAGGGCATGAAGAGACATTTCTCAAAAGAGGATATATGAGTGGCAAATAAGCATATAGAAAAATGCTCCACATCACTAATTATCAGGAAAATGCAAATCAAAACCACACTGTGATACCACCTCGCTCCTGCAAGAATGGCTATAATCAAAAAATCAAAAAATAATAGATGTTGGTGTGGTGAAGAAGGGGAAGAATGGATTTGGTGAAGAGGGAACACTTTTACACTATTAGCATGAATGTAAACTAGTACAATCACTCTGGAAAACTATGGAGAGTCCTTAAAGAACTAAAAGAAGATCTACTGTTTGATCCAGAAATCCCATTTCTAGGTATCTACCCAGATGAAAAGATGTCATTATATGAAAAAGATATTTGCAAACAGATGTTTATAGCAGCACAATTTGCAATTGCAAAAATATGGAACCAGTCCAAATGTCCATCAATCAATGAGTAGATAAAGATAATGTGGTATATACATACCACGGAATACTACTCAACCTTAAAAAAGAACAAAATGATGGCATTTGCAGCAACCTGGACAGAATTGGAGACTATTATTCTAAGTGAAGTAACTCAGAAATGGAAAGCCAAATATCTTATGTTTTCTCTAATATGTGTGAGCTACACTATGAGGATGAAAAGGCCTAAGAATGATGCATTATTGGACTTTGGGGACTCGGGGGAAGGGTAAGGGTGGTGAGGGATAAAAGACTACACGTTGGGCAGTGTACACTGCTCAGGTGATGGGTGCACCAAAATCTCAGAAATCACCACTAAATAACATATTCGGATAACCAAACACCACCTGTCCCCTAAAACCATATTGAAAAAAAAAATAAAAGTAAAAAAGATGCCCAAGGAAAAGCCACAAATAGGGAAACATATTTGCAATGTGATTGCCACTGATCAAAGACTAATATTCAGAATATGAAAAACACCTACAATTTAATAAATAATCAAACCAATAAGAAAATAAGCAACAGATTTGAGTATACATTCTATAGAGAAGAAACACAAAAGGTCAACAAGCAGATGAAAAATACTTAAACTACCTTAGTGATCAGGGAAAAGCAAATTAAGACCATGGAGATACAATCCTTTTTCTTTTACAACCTTTTTTTTGGCATTGATTAAGAAAGCTGACAAAACTAAGTGCTGGTAAAGTCATAGATGAAAAGAAACTCATATACCACAGCTATATGAGTTTTGGAAAAGTTTTCCAGTATCTTAAAATCCTGAGCATTTATACAATCTAAAACCTAGAGATTCCATTTCTAGGTAAATGCCTTAGAGAAACAGGTTTCATGTAGCATGAAATAATGTAGTATCTTCATGGACAGGGAAATGGATAAATTGTGAAATTTTTTTACACAGTAGCAATCTGAATGCCTTTCAACTACATACAGGGGATGGATAAAATTGGTGATGTACAAACAGATCCCCTGTATGTAGTTGAAAGGCATTCAGGTTTCTACCATGTAAATGTACAGCCACAGTTTTCCTGCAAAAAGGAAACCTTGATTTGTGGAGACTCATTTCCGTGGTGTGAATACTCCCACCGTGGCTAATTTCAAGCAGCCAAACTGAAATGGCAGTTGGTTCTCCCAGTCTGGTATAAGCAAGTTGCAGCTCACTGTAAAGTGTGTCTTAAAAGCCTAATACTTCTTGAACAAAAGCAAGTCACAGAATACCATTTTTATAAAGCTCCAAAAAGCAAATCTAAATAATATGTTCTTTAGGAAAACATAAGTGACAAAACTATACTAAAAGAAGGAAATGATAAACACAAAATATTAGTTATTCTCAGGGGTAAGGGGAGGCTGGGTGTTGGGATAAGGAAGGAGCCCGCAGATATATGGTTTTTGGAAATGCCCTAATTATTAAGTGGTAGGTTTGGGGTGTTTATTTTTTCATTATCATTTGTAATTTAAATATATCATACATACTAATAGATGTGATATATTTTACATTTTTACATGTTATATTTATATAAATGTTTTACAGATGTATTTTTATGTCAAATATTCTGTAATAAATATTTTTTAAAAACTGCTAGGGGAACATAAACCAATGCCAGTGTAGCATAATATAAAGAAATGGCCATAGTTTATACATACTCAAACCTATTATAATGGTGATGACACGGTATGTTCTTACAATAGACCTTTAACCCTGACAATGAACATTAAGTAATGTGTCATTAGCAACATGGAGGTCCCAGGCTGGCCATTCGTTGACGCTCACTTAGTTTCTGGAGTCAGCCTGGATTCTGCTCATAGATATTCTTGCATGTGTACCTTGACTTATGCCATCCTTTCCTGACTAGCAATAAGACCTTTTCCCTCCCTTCTCTGCCTATTTAGATCATCTGCTCTAAGATCATGTTAAGTCTCTCTGATGTTTTCTTTCTCTTAGCTCCTAATTGTTTTTGAATTGCTTCTTGTGTGTTTGTTTCTCTTACTTCCATTGGATTATATGCTTCTTGAAGTTCTCTTATGTTACCCATCATGACCAATACAAAACCAGATACAAGATAGATACAATTTAATTAGTTGCCATTAATTTTTAAAATTTAATCAAATTAACTCCAATTTACCAATCTGTACCCATATATTCTTCAACAATCTCATTTACATAATTACTGAGTATTATAAGGACTCAAATTTCCTGGGAAATTAAATAATGTATCAATAATGTGTTGCAAATTATACTTTAAGCTCCCTTCTTGAAATGCCTATTCCTGCATTCTTCAGGAATTAGTATTTATTAGCATACTTAATCTGCAAATTCCGGAATATGAGTTTCTGATTTAGTACATTCTTTTCTACTTAAGTTAGTCAAATGACTAGATCCAGTAATTAAATATTATTGGCATTATCCGAAAGTGCTACTGTGAGTTTTATGTCAACTGTGCATCCACATTGAACTTGGCTAGACATACATAAATATTTCTATAAATAGGTATAACTTTGTGCACAAAAGAATCTATTGTGACATAAGCAGCAAAAGTAAAAATAATGGCTGAAAAAAGTTGGATGAAGCTAAGCACTACAATAAACTACAGATTTTTAGGTCCCCACCAACATGTCCAATCAACCACGGGACTGAATTTCTAGTCCTGTCACAGATTATTAGATTTCTGGTAAAATTACTTTATCTTTCCATGCTTCATTTTCTTCTTCTCTAAAATGAGGATATAAGATAAACTGTAATATTTGACAAATTTAGGGACTAATTCCCCACCCACCCATAGGTTATTTTAAATAGCTAAAAAAAAAACTTATATTTGAAAATAATGTATAAAAGAAATTTCTCTGGAATAGACAGAGCAAAACAGCTTACACATATTTACTCATCTGTTACTGTTAATAAGCAATGTACTTGGAACACAAAAAGAATAGCATTTACTGCTCCAAGCATTAAACACCAAGATTTTATTTTCATGATGTCTGTGGTCCCTACTATCTTGTTAGATTGGTATCCTATTATTAGATTTGGAATATTTGGCAGTATCCATGTGACTTCATAACTTTCAAAAATGGTAGTTATGTAAATTTTCAAATGTTCTGGCAGCACTTATAGTTATCGCTTCATACTGAGCTGAATGGACATTACTGTATTATAGATCTCTCTGGATATGGTACCAGGGAGAATTAAACAAAAACAGAAACAGAACAAAATGTAAACCATACAAAGTTACTAATACTTTCTCTTTATAAATATTCATCTTTGTTAAAAAAATTAATACTGCCCTATAAATGTGTTCAAGTAAATTTCATGAAAGAAAATATCATAGAAAATGTTCAATTTCTTTTAAAAGCACCTGATACAGTGTTGGTATATAGTATTTGCTAAATAAATGAATATACAAATATACAAATGCAATAAATGTATGAATGAAAGAATAAATACATAAATAAGCAAAATGACATCACTTAAAAACCATTAACTACTCATGGATAAGAGCTTGAAAACTCATTTATAATACTTCTAACTTTAAAAATTTAGCAAATCCGTGAGAGGGTAGATTTTCTTGTCATATATACAAAAAGAATTTGCTTTGTAATGTAGAATAGAACATTTTAATGTTATGTATTTATTAAGTCAATAGACTACTTAAATAAGAACTTCAGTACACAACAAAACAGGAAGCATACTGAATGAATGCTAAAATTATAGTAGCATTTGCTCACAGTTCTGCAGAATATAATTCAGTTTAGGAGGACTTGAATTACGCTTAATTTGTATCCTAATTTAACAAATTTATTGTCATCTTTACAATAGTGTTTTAGGAGCTGGAGGTTCAAGTATTCTTTACAAGTGGATTAATACTTTTGCATTTGGTATAATTCTCATTATCTCTCCTGATTTTAGCCACTAAAACTTGTTTATTTTTATTATCTATGTTCTGTTAGGAAAGGTAGTAAGTAAAAGCTTTAAATTTACCTGCAACTCTAGAATGATGTGTTTCTCTTGAAGTCAGTTTTATGGTGGAAGGCATTCTGTGTTCTAATACAAAATCCACATTTACATCTGTATAAACTATGTGCCCCAGGATTTAGAAACTTGTCTTCTTGAACGTAAAATTCTGAGTTCTCAGAGATAGAGAGAGCTCCATGACTCCAAATCTGTACAAAGTACAGATTTGTACTAAGCTTACCATTGGGGTGTTCTGTGGCCATTAAGGGTTTGAAAGATTTCATGCTCTAATTCTCTTTTTAGAGTATACATTTTATGCAATAGAAAAATCTGTCTTCATATGTACGTGAAGCTAAAGGAAAACTTTAGGGCTTTATATGACTCCCTCAAGTATTAATAAATATAAGAAATCAATTTCTAAATCCAGTGGTGTAAAATAAATTTCCCTTAACTGGTATTTTTATTTGAAAAGTAGGAGCTCAAACTCAACTAAGGAAAGTTGACAGTCTTTAGGATAGATTATTTCTAGTTGCTCCATTTACCTATTCCTATAACTGAATTCTTTATAACCCACAGAACCTGTTGTTCGAAAGGTTGTTATATTGTCAGAAGACATATGGAAAATATTGCAGCATTTTGTTCACATATTTGAAAGCCACTACTCACCCACCCATCAATATATTCAATTCAGGCTATGTAATTGCAACTTCTTGCTTCATATACTGAAATGGAAAACCTACCACCATTTAATAATGAGCATCTTCCTCTGAACTTTTTTTCAGAATTTTCCATTCCATCTAAAAAGGAGAGCATAAAATAGTATTTAAATTGTGTAACCCCCACCAAAAGGAGAAGATTGATAGATAAAACAAATAATTATAAAATCATAAAACAAAAAAGGACACTAAATATAATTGTGTTTCAACAATTAGCTGAATTATATGCAAAAATTTTGCTTTATTTGTATAACTAAGAGAACTGTGGCTCTTGCACATTTCTGATGTCGTTGTACCCTTCTAAATTAAAAATGCTTATCATTTTTCTAAACATTATTTTATGTTCTATTTTAACTCACAAACACTATGAATTTTTCAACAACCAGCTCTGTTACTTTATTCTTCTCAAAACAGGTTTATATATCAGAGAATTAATAAGCTATATGTGACTATAATTTATTCTTTTTTAAAAAATAAAAATAGATTCCTTACCTGGGACTGAAGAAGCACTAATGGAGGAGGGTGAAGAATTTGAGAAAGCATCTATACTAACAGGACCTGTAAGTATATTCATTTATGTATTTTTTTAATTGCTAAAACATTAAAATTACTAATAGGAAAACCTAAATAACATATAATAAAGCCAGTTTTCTTACTGGTTGTTTCAACAGTTGGGAAGGAAGACTTGAACTAGATGGGAAATGTGAAGTTCTGGTTTTATTAGCTGCTTGCTTGTGCATGTGAAGATGCTAAAGATTACCACCTGCCATCTTAAACTTCAATAAGTTTAACTGTATTTATCTTGATAGAAAAACAAATATTTTACATATCCTAAAAGTTTACATATGACTTAAGCATGCTATTTTTAGTTGTGAAGTCTGTGATATAATATTTTTGTTAAACTATATCTCTTCAATACAATATATTGGGAGCAAACCATTAGGTTTAAGATTTTTTAATGCAATTTAAGGTTAAAAGAATAAATATAAAATCCTGAAATTCTATATAAATTCAAAATAAAAAGAAATATTATATAAACTTAAAATACAAAGTTCATAAAATATTTTGAGTTCTATAAAAATAACTAATGCAATCTTGAATTATCTTAAACATAATAGTTGGACTGGTTTTGTATGCATCTGTATTCTCTCAGTTTGCTAGGGCTGTCACAACAAAGTAGCAAAGACTGGGTAGCTTAAATAACAAAAAGTTAATTTCTCTAAGTTCTGGAGGTAGAAAAAGTGTTGCCATGGCTGGTTTCTTCTGAGGTCGTTTTTTTCACCTGGTAGATGAATGTCTTCTCCCGGTGGCTTCACAGCTTCTTCCCTTTGTACATGTCTGTGTCCTAATCACTTAATACCAGTGATACATCACCAATATCACCAGTGATAGTGGAGGAGAGCCTCCCTAATAACTTCCTTTAACTTAATTACCTCTTTAAAGACCTTATCTCTAAATATATTCTGAGGTACTTGGGCTAGGAATTCAACATAAGAAATTTTAGGAGGACACAGTTCAACCCATAACACTGTGATGAGATTAACATGAATTAAACCATTATTCAGATCATAGGATTTAGTTAAAAGCACCAAGTTTTCCAATGAACTTCTTAATAAAATTCATTTTTAAAATTGCTGATAAAATTAACGTATCTTGCTCAGATGTTATTTTCCCTGATGCTACTTAAAATTTTGCATTTTCCTTCTTAATTTTTCTTATGGTACTTATGACTTCTATGTGATATAATTTATGTATTTGTTTTACTGTCCATTTCTTTCCACTATAATATAAGGTCTACCAGGGCAAGAATTTTTGTATAGTTTTTTCACTTCTACATCCATAGAAGAGTACCTACATGCTGTAGGCCCATAATACACACACACACACACACACACACACACACACACACACGCATGCACACACACACATATACATATATATGTATGTTGAATGCATAATTTAGCAATAATTCCTCACCATAAGATGAAAACTATTATATTTTCCTTTACAATAAAATGGTAATATCTTAGAAATTAAAAGAAGCATGGTAACTATCCAGTATAGCGTTTCCCATCTCTTGCCTTGGCATTTTCAACTATGGAATTTTCATCCCTCCATTCAATCCAGGGATATCTAACCTATAGATGAGGAAGCAGAAACTCGGAGAAGCTAAGGAAATAAACCAAGTTCCTAAAGTTAAGAGAACAGTGAAATTAGGAGTTGGGAACTAGTCAGTTTTCCTTCTACTGTACATCTTTAATATTTTAGTGCTTTTCTGTTTCTTCTAGAAAGTTTATCCCTCTTTGTTAGATACTGTCTTCCATTCCTCACAAACATTGGTCCTAGTTCCACTCCGGGAGTGATAGCTTAAATCTAGTCCTTCTTATGATTAACTGTTCAGATATTAGAAACTACCAGCATGTCCCAAATGAGACTTAAAGTTTTAGGTCAAAACACAGTCCCTGCTTTTAACCAATTCTTACATGGGGTGGTTTCAAAAAATTTCATTATCTTGATGCTTTTTCTGAACATATCCTTGTTTGCCAAATCCCCTGGAACATGTGAGATATGCCAGAACCAAATCTAGGGTTCCAAGTAATGTTCTCACACAGAGTACAATGAGGTATATATTTGGAACAAATTTGATTTAGGGATTATAACCTACTGTTGCATTAATTTTATTTTTTAAGAAATGTTCAGCCATTTATAAACTTTGTATTTCTCCATAATCTCATGATGTTCCTTAGGTTGTGATAATCTGTCATTCATCACTTTTTGCAAAGCTTTATCAGCTGTGAATTCCACAAGGTCCATATTTTTCTCTCATGCCTTAACATATGCCATTAAATTCTTCTTCTAATCGTTTTCTCCAATCAAGATATATCCTGTCTATAGTATTTGGCTTCCTTACTAATACATAAAAATGCAAAGAAAAAAGAAATTAGCTCTACTTGGTCAAACTTTTCATGAGTCATTTCAAATGGGTGTATAGAGATCTTTGCTTTCTTTCCACAGTGCTCACATAGTGCTTTCCCAGTGCAAAAGTTTGTTATAGGTTAACCTGTATTTTATTTACATTCATTAGATTTTGCATTGAAAATGCTCGATTCCAGTGAATATCGTATTACACATTTAAATCCTTTTGGAATTAAGTGGAATAAAAGGAATACATGAATAAATGAATGAATGTCAGGACCCTGAAGTAGACAATTTCTAGATGGTAGCTGCTTTTATTATGAGAAAAGCATGGATTAAAATACAAGTTAATTTTGTTAAAATAATGATATTTTAGATGTAGATTTTCTGAAGAATACTTCTGTAGTATTTCTTAGGGTAATATTTTTAGTAAATCATGAAGAAAATTGGGACTTTATCTAAATATTAAGGGAGAATTGGAACAAAGCAACTCTTTTTCTTTATTACAGTAAGAAATACAAGATACTTCAAAGAAAATTTTAGTCATATCCTGTACAAATATAAATATGCCACAAATGTTGAACCATTTAAGGTAGTTTCAACACTGGCTGTCTCTATTTGCTAACTTTCCATGTTGAGTATTGTATATTAATAAGTGGGGAACAAACTCTTGGAAACTGTTTTTTACTAGTGGCTTACCCTGTGCTTGGAATATTTCTTGAACATTTTGTGAATATTTAAGTGATGTAGAGGCAACATTTACATTTGAATTTTTATCCTCCTCCACATAAGCAAGTCATTCTTCTAGAATTTCCCTCTCCCTCTCCTCTCTCTGTATTCTGGACTGCCTCTTAGTATATATACAGCCTATGCAGGTTAAAACTGGATTTGTCAGGTAAAGTCATTTAATAAACCAACAAAAATGCAATCATGAAAAGAAAATACCAAACAGCAGGTATTGATTATGACCTCTTAGCTTCATAAGTATATTATTTTAGATTAATGATTGATGAACACTTAATATCAACAATTTTGAATTGCATAATTTCTTTGGCTTTCCTAATTTTTTTTTTTTTTTTTTTTTTTTTTTTTTTTTTTTTTTTTTTGAGACAGGGTCTAGCTCTGTCACCCAGGCTGAGTTCAGTGGTGCTATCACAGCTCACTATAGCCTTGACGTGCTGGGCTTCAGCATTCCTCTCATTTCAGCACCTCAGTCTCCGGAGTAGCTGTGACTACAGGTGTGCACCACCACATCTGGCAATTTTTTTCAGTTTTGTAGAAACTGGGTCTAGCTATGATTCCCAGGCTGGTCTTGAACTCCTGAACATAGGCAATCCTCCTTCCTTGGCCATCCGAAGTACTGGGATTACAGGCATGAGCTTCCTTAATCTTAAAAAATCAATTTTGCTTTGAAAGTATTAAATAAACATATTGGTGTGAAGGGAAGATGAAGATAATTAAGAAAGGCCTTTGATAGTAAATATCTGACTTTTTCTTTTTTCCTTGTAAATTTTTAAAGTTATTGTATTCATTAGTCAGTAATGACTAGCTCATTATAATCTGACTCTCATAAGACTTTATGTAACTGGTCATCATTTCTTAAAGTAGAAAAGACAATTAAAAGGACTTCTGTAAAAAAAAAGTTTCCTAAAATGACCAGGGTTTGCTAAAAGTTGTGCTTTCGGTATATTCTTCTCTTGAGAAGTTTTATCTACTTGGGGAGATATATAAACTTGACTAGGATGATAGTAGTAGTAATGATATCACATATTTGTACAGTACTTTTTGTTAATTAAGTGCTTCACATATTTGATACCAATGGTGTCTCAATGTTGTCATTCCCATGGCTTATCACTTTATCCTGGCCACCTTGCTGTGAAGTAGTACTTCACAGTAGCTACTTAGCTACTTAGTAGCTAAGTAGTACTTAGCTTTAGAGGAGCATACTGAGCTTCCAAAAGATCTTGTGATTTGTCTCAGGTCACATAGACAAGAAAGGACAAAAACTCATGGTTCCCAGTACCCAAACTCTCTTTCATAGAACTTGTTGGGATCCACACAAATGGTACTTATTTGCAAATTTGTATTTAGGCACTGAGTCACTGTTAACACCTGCATTGAAAAAGGGATAAGTATTAGGCCATTATCAGTAGACAATATCTTTTATTTTATTTTATTTTATTTTTTGTGATGGAGTCTTGCTCTGTCACCCAAGCTGGAGTGCAGTGGTGTGATCTCAGCTCACTGAAACCTCCGCCTCCTGAGTTAAAGCAATTCTCATGCCTCTGCCTCCTGAGTAGCTGGGATTACAGGTGTGCACCACCATGCCCAGCTAATTTTTGTATTTTTAGTAGAGACAGGGTTTCACCATGTTGATCAGGCTGGTCTCGGACTGCCAACCTGAAGTGATCTGCCCACCTTGGCCTTCCAACGTGCTGGGATTACAGTCATGAGCAATGGCACCTGACCTGTACTTCTTTTAAGTGTTTGCAGTCATGTTGAGGAGTCAGGCCACTAAACAGCTGTTTGCTACGCAATTTGGCAAGTGTAATAATAGTGAAAAGTCCAGAGTAATCAAACAACACACAGGAGAGATACTGTAGTGAGTTGGAAGTATAGGTAGAATTATTCACTGGATTAAGTA